TGTTTTTATTTTTAACAGACTGAAATCTTTGACTGATGAAAAAGCTAATTAAATAATTTGTCAACATCCAAATTGTAAAGTTTTTATTTGACCGCCAATGCTCAGAAGCTCCTTAAAAAGTTACTCAGAAACAAACAAACTTTCAGTCTGTCTGTATTTGAAGGTAAAAATAAAACGTGCTTTTCACTGAAAACCATTTTCCAAAATGTCAGCGTTGTTGAAAGATATGAAAATGTCTGCTTCATCTTAGTGGGAATGCATTTTTGTAAATGACTAGTTTGACATTTTGGTGAAGATGCAAATTTTCATTTTTGAGTTGTTTCTGAAAGGTAAATATTTGCTGCGGTCAATTTAGCGTATACAGTAGATGTGATAAAAATCAGCTCGGATGTTTACAAAGGTGACATATGTCTGCTGTCTGCTGCCAATGCATAGAGATTATTTTAACTTTATTATTACCACACTATTCACTTGTTTGTTGGTGGTTTAAGTTATGCAAAAAAAATAGATAAATCACAAAAACAAAACAATGAAGATCAATGGAATTTACAAAAAAAACATGAGAAAACCTCATCAAAAACAAAACATATTAACAAATTCAAATAATATTTGATTTGATTTGACCAATTTGTTTGAAATCATTACTTTTACTTTTATTTTGTTACATTTCAAACCTAATAATTATACTTTTATTTCTTTACTTTAAAATTTAACACCTAGTTACTCGTTACAAATGAAATATGTCTGAACTCGTCATGAGTGGAGTTGTTTCTGCACTCTAGAACAATTAAGTGTGAAATTTACTCAACCAAGTCATGTCAACTGGTTTAGAGTAAATTCAGCAGTTTTTTCTTAGAATGTGTACAAGTACTTTTACTTACCCGATTTTTTTGAACAGTTCTCATCAGTGAAATTTATTTTAACCAAAGTCATTTTCTGTTAAGTTTTTTTTTTTTACTTTTACTTAGTTATTTTCTAAGTACTTTAGAGACCTCCGAAAAAGAATAAAAAAATCAGAAATTTGAATTGTAGACATTTAAACTGTCCTTTTCTTACTTTTTTATAAACTACATTTGATAGACTTAAGGTTAGTATTGGGAAATATACTTAGTTTATAATAAAAAAGTGTACAGACTATAAGTATATATCTAGTTCACAAGTATAGGAAAATTGTACTTGTGCATAGTTTAAACATAGCAAACTAAGAAAAGGAAAAATGACAAAAGTATACTTAAAGTATACTTTTTATAAACTGTAATGGACAAAATTTACTATAGTATAAGGAAGGTATACTGAAAAGTATAAGTCTAAGACTAGTAGTGCTGGTGCAATGGCAGTATAGGAAAAGTGTATTTTAAATATATTACAGCAAACTGTAACAGTATAGTATTACAGTAACAAAATGTGAACAGTAAACGTAAAATATGCTTTTTACAGAATATTTAATATTTTTCTGACATTTGAATTCTCTAACTTCTCTAAAACTTTCAAATCTTAAGCTCTTCTTACCCCTCAGCTGTATTTCCCACATAAACAGTAATAGTTTTGTTTCTCTCACTGCTAAAAGACTTATAATAAGTTTCTCTTAAATCACCCCAGAACACAGAGCTTCGTCGGCTTATTATGACTTATTTTTCACATGAAGCTCTAATTCTCCTGTTGCTGTGTTTTCTATCTCCAAAATGTTGCTTCTGTGGAACTTAATTTCCCCCCGGATTGGATTAATAACATATTCTGATTCTGAGGCCCTTGTTTATGGTCAAACCATGATGAAAGTCATTTTCAGAACTTTTCAAACAAAAGTCTCCCAGCTTCAGACTTCATCCAGACTGTCAGTGCGAACACATCCGGGTGCCGATGTGAGGAAGTCATTCTGCAGAATGAAACTATGAGTTTGAGTCAAACCTTTGTCAGCAGTTTGTGAAATATTCAGATCTGAAACCCAAATGTCTTGGGAGGGAGAAAAAATAAAATAAAAATATAAAACCTGCTCCACAGACTGCTGGTTTTAATTTTGCTTCAATTCACAGAGGGCTTCTCAGCAAGCAGAGCCATTAATAACCTGACAAGGAAGAAAATGTTCTTGAGCAGCCTGAACGGTCCTTGATACTGACCTGAAACAAATAAGCTTTTTAAGACTTCAGTCAGTGTCTCCAGTATTTGTGTCGGGGCCGGTTTATTTGTACGTCTCTTACTGTGAAAATATCGCTTCACCTTCACACAGAGCTGCGTCCCCTTTTGTCTTTGTGGGATCCACTGCACTTATGTCACCATTCATCTCTCACCTTGTCAGCTTGTGTTTCTGGACCTTTTGTTTGAGTGAAATCTCGTAAACGGCATGTGTAATCTTAAAAAAAGAAATAAAATAGAAAGCGTAGATTTAACAGCAAAAGTAATGCTGTTTTAGGGTAGTTTGCTTCAGTGCTTCCCTAATATCTTCCCCCAAATATTACCCATGTTTTTTGTGTGCGTTGCTTTATATTTCTTCAAATAATGTACTATATGATCAGGAGGTTGACATTTATTTGTTTTTGATTGTGCTGTGGTTTCATCGCCTTGCAAACCATTTTCAGAGCCGGGATCATCGTTTTCGTAGATGTAGAAATGCTTGAGGAAGACTCGTGAGTTTCATTTTTTATCATCTTTTCCTTTTTTCTTCTTCCATGAACGTCATTCCTTATTCTCACATCAGCATGCATTTGTGATCCTTTTTTTTTTTCAATTGTTACGTTTGGTACTCATTTAAACTTTAAACTTTCTGTATTTTTCAGTTTTAGTCATTATTCCCCACAAAACTTGGTAAAATAGTTGACAGTTCCTGCAGCCACTCGTGGATGTAAGTTATTTTAAAACATGAGAGGAACAAATAAAGAAGGAGAAAACATACACATTTTGGATTTTTGTGAATTTTCTTAAGCCTTGACAGGGTAGACATTAACAGTCCAGCATTCCTTGGGGGGGNTATATAAAATTCACTTTTTAGTTTTAGATCATGAAATAATACCATTCCCTCATCAAGAACAAACCCAGAGTGTTGATTCGACTCATTCATGCATGTTTGAGAAATCCTTGAATCTCCTGTGGAGATGCCTAAAGACTTGCTGGTACAAAGCTCCGCCTATTGTACAAAGCTCCTCCCTGGAGCTCAGTCTGCAGCCAAGCTCCCGCCTCACAGATAACCCCTCCCCCGAAGCATTGTTTGAAAATGTGCTGAAGTGGGAGTGCCAGAAATGGAAGGAGATTCTTAAAGATGCAGAGGCTAATTTCAAGGTGTTCAGATAGGCTGTGAAGCAAATATATACAGAAGTTTCATAACAACAGAAGGTAACATAGTTACTTGATTGTGATATAGAATTAAATGCATAATACCCCCCTTAAAGCAGGGGCGGTTCTAGGGGCGGGGCCACAGGGGCATTGGCCCYGGCTGAAATCTGATTGGCCCCCTGAAGTGCCCCTGTCCTGTCACTCATCTGTCCTTTACCTGGGGGGTGATGATGGTGGATGCAGTTCCATGTTCAAACACTAGTTGCGCTAATGAGTCAAATAGTAAAGTCCAGAATGAATCAAGCTGACAGAATTCTTCTTCTCTTCTTAAAATGTGAAAAATCCTGCAAAAAAGTATTTCAACTGACAAACGATGGCTGGATTTTCTCACATGTTGTGTGTTTGAAAATATTTTATCTATGTACAGTAAAATGTATGAAAAACTGGTGAGGAGAATTTACTGTGCAAGTTTTTTGGTACCGCTATACAATCAAGCTCCCCTTATAGATGGCTTATAAAGAGTTTATAAATAGGTTATTAATTAATTTGTAAAGTTTACACTTCATAAATCATTAATAAATGAAACTGGACAATTATGTCTTTTTCTCATCCTTAATTATTGCATAATAAACACTTATTAATAATTTTTAAAGTGTTTACAGATTAATTAATAACCTATCTATAAACTCTTTAAAAATCATCTATAAGGGGGGCCTTGTGGTACTTTTTTTTTAAATTACATCACCTTTCAAGTGTTTGAAGTGTAAAATGTATACACTGGGAATTTGTGTGAAAGGATGTTGAACAAAGACTTGGCACCTCAATGAATATTGTGGCCCCTTGATGGCCCCTTGCTCAGAAAATTCCTAGATCCGCCACTGCCTTAAAGGAATGCATATGTCACTCCTTCTTTCGTTTTACACTAAAATTGTCTTATTTTTTTAATGACTTTTAACTATTTTAGTCTGACATAAATCTAATTATATCAATGCTTCACTGGAGAGTATTCCTTTTTTCTGTTTCATGATGAAAGCTCGATGAGATGAGACTTTAATAAACATTTTTTAAACTTTTGTGAAGATGTGATCTTCTGTCTGAGCTGCCTGTGCTCCTTCAACGCTCTTGTTGTGATTCGCTGTCAGACGGAGCTTCGCGCTGCCACACAGACACCTGTTGCTGCAGGACGTCATGGTCACAAACAGGAACGAGACGTTCTGTGAAGAGTGCTGTAAAAACAATTTGAAAGAAAAAAAAATACTTTTGTAAAAGAAAATCTTTTAAATGAACTCATTTAACAAAACGGACAAAATAAGTCACAACTATTTGATTAACTTTACTGAAGAACAACCAAGTACATAATTTGAGCATTTTTCTTACCTTTAACTCATTTTCACTCTTATTTTGCACCTTTGAGATCAGTGAAATAACCCTCGAGTTCAAACTGTTTGTAGCCGTTTCCTCACATATGTCAAATTTAGTGCCACATCTGGTGGTTAGGACCTGCTCCAACAGTATTCCTTTATTGTGACATAAAATTAACTGTGTGTAATATTTAGCTGTCACAATTTTCAAATTAACTTTAATAAAAACTTATTTATAATCATGATTACTCCGCACAAAGATGCAAATTCCTGATGAGAACATATGGACTTCTGGGTTTAATTAGAGTTTAAGTCTTTAAATCCTCCGCTGTGAAACGTAACGTTCTGTTTCATTGTTTTGTGGTTTTCTTGCAGGAATCTGGGAGGCATCCAGAAGAGCTGCTGAACCCAGCTGAGTACATGAGCTACCAACGCACCTGCAACGTGGAACCCGTCCCCGAGTCCCAGCCCGCCCCCGCTTACCCTCCCGTGACGTTCCTGCCTCAGCACGCCTACGCCCAGCACCCGTCCAACGAGCCCATGTACTCCAACACCGGCTTCCCCGCCCACGGCCCCCGGGCCCCGTTCACCTTCCCCAAGGAGCAGTCCGTGTGATGAGCGGCGCGACGTCTTTTGTCCAATCGGTAAAAAGGCCACTCCACAAAACGCTTGGTGAAATTCAAAGCGGAGTGGATGTGCATCCGTCCCCCCCCCCTCCCCCACCCCACCGTGCTTTTGTTTCTTCTCTAGTCTTAAACCCCCTGTGGGCTCTCACCTCCCAGATGAAAGTGTAGCTCGCTCCCCTGTGTATTGTGCGCTGCCTGCTCCACTGGACCCCGGTCACCTTGTAATGTTAGCTTAGCTGCCTCTAACCGCCTGCCTCCACCACTTTAGCCTTCACCCCTCGTAGGCGCCCACACATCCTGTTTGCTCTCCATCGCTTCCTCACCTTTGAATAGTTTTACTTTTTGCCCACCATCTAATCATGTACAGGAAATGCCACTCAAGATTTTTGCTCTTCCCCTTTTTTTTAACTATTCCTGCAGTGTTAGTCACTTTTTATAGGAATGCCCCTTTTTTATTTGTTTCGTTTCTGTTTTGCTCTCAACCATCTGCTTGCTTAAAAGTACTATACTGTATTTGTGATCAGGTGTTTTTTTTTAGTGGGAAGAAAAGCAAAATAATTGCTATTAATGTGTAAAACTAAGGATCTATAACGACATGGGCTGCTCCACTAATTACAGTTAATGACAGGGTTGATATGTGAGGTTGTGAATTGGCAGCCCTTCAGCTCAATCTTTCATTATCTTTCCAAACAGATTTCAGAGTTAAGCTATTTCGGACTATTAAAACAGAATGTTATCATCTTTTTAACAAGGCAAAAATCAAAGGGCTTCAACTCCAACAGCATCTGCTTTCATCTCCTCTCCCTGCATTTTTTATCCATCCAGATCAATATTATTTATTATCTACCAGTAGTTGCCAAAGACATTCTTTCAGCTGTTTGCTTTCTCGCCAACATTTACATTAAAGCTATCTCATTTCATGGGAAATAAACAGATTATTGTTGACTGTCAATGTTGCTACATTGTCCCAGCTTTACTATATGCTGGATTTTCCATAATTTCATGTAAAAAAAAACAAAGTTTGTTACAGAGATTGAGGCTCTTTCGGGGGTCAAACAGGGTTTTTTCCTATTACAGGTGTAAAAAGTGAAGACAATCACAAAGCTGGCTTGTCCACTGAAAAATAAACAGGTCAGTTAAAGTTAGAAGTTTGTTGTTTATGTTCATAGCTAAAGGAAACTAATTTTTCATGGACACTTTGAACATATTTAAATGTTTTAAGAATATAATTTGTACTAATTAAACTTAGTTTCAAATCACTCAGAATTGAAAATAGCTTGCAACTGTATTTTTATAGAATGATTAGTTAGATACACTTATTTTCAGAGTCCACTGTGACTTTCAGGCCATACATAAGCTAATGTTGCTCAGGGTGGAATCTCACTGGGCTGTGACTGTTGGAGACTCAGATTTGTTAGAAAAAAAGTGTTTGTGGTCGAGCAACCAGCAAGTTGTGTGAATGTGTTTTGTGCAACCAGGTTTTGAAAATGACATTTTTTGTGTGCATGACCTGCAAAACTGTATTCTAGGCCATGCACATTCATTTGTTGCCCACTTCTGCCCACATTGAACTTACCTGGGCTACACGGTACCTACCTGATACCTACCTGGTTCTAACAGGTACTGTTATGTCCCTTTTCCACTAAAGCGCCTCGACAGCATGGTGGTTTTCCATTACACTTCAGTAACAGCTATAGTGGGTGGGTTCATCGTAAAGTTGGGCAGTCCCAGAGTCCGAAAATTGATGCCTCACACCTTACCATCTGGTGGCGGTAATGCTCCATCAAGGTATGTGCCAGCCACCATTAACGTAGTAGAAGAAGAAGACAAAAGATACACAACACAACAATGGAGGACTAGCGTTGTTATTGCAAATAGTGGATCAGGTTGTTGTGAGAGTAGTTTTTGTGACACAACAGGTGACTCCGCCCCCTAACCAATCAGTGACCGACAGTCTTCTGACGTCGCACTTTCAGACCAGCACGGTACGCTTGGAACCACAGCGAAGTACGTTCAGAAAAGAGTCTGGTTCCAAGAATCCTTGGAAAAGCTTTGGGACCGTGGAGAGCCAAGTCGAACCGTGCTGCAGTGGTGCTAGTAAAAAAGAGGCATTAGAGTTCCAACAGGGTCTGGTTTGTGTTGTGGAATGACTTGTTACATACCAACTAAGTAGATGAAAGCCAAGTTAGTACCTGGTAAGTACTAGGTAAATACCAAGTAGACATTTGGTTTAGAGCAGGGGTTTCATGAGCGATACGATGGCCCTCAAAGGGCCAGTTACAATTAACTTTGACGTTTCATGTTTAACTTCAGCTAAATGCGAAACATGTTTTATTAGTCTCATCGCTATGGCTGCGCACTGCTAACAAGCAATAACTGAGCTCTACTTGGTATTTCCTGCATAGAAACAGCGTTTTGCCACATCTTATGAACACTGAAAATTACTACGTGTACGACTGACTAAATGTGAAATAATACACAAATACTATTAAAAGTAAAATTAGGTGAGTTTTACTCACTGATGAGTTGTGGTGAGTAGTTTTGAACTCTCCCATTTTCCCACAGGGAATTCGCATGCATAACCGACATGCATTATGGGAGATGTAGTTTATGGACAAAGACATTATTACTAAATTGCTCCGTTACTTAAAGTCAACAAGTATTATTTTTCAACTTTTAAATTTATGTATTTTGTTGCATTTAATCGTAAATTTTAAGTTTCATATAAAAGCAATTTTTACATTATATAAAAAACATTATTATTTTATTAATTTATCAAAAGGAAAAAATTGTATAGGTCCTCTGGACGGGTTCTTCTTTAATGMAACGTTTCGTCTCTCTTCCAAGAGACTTCTTCAGTCTCGTCCCTTCGCTGCTTTTCAAAGATTGTAAAATTCTTTAAGACCTGCCGCTTTTCATGCTTATAAAAATCTGCAGAAAAGTGAGCAAGCAGTTCAGTTACATCCTGTTGACTTGTCCTGATGCATCTCAGTAATCCAGGTAAAAAATCAAAAAGAAAAAAATTGTATAGGTCTTCTGGACGGGTTCTTCTCTAATGAAACGTTTCGTCTCTCCTCCAAGAGACTTCTTCAATCTGAGAGTTTCAGGCAAAATTCAGGCTTTTAAGCCCTGCCTCCATGTGACTGATGCTCACATCACATGGCTATCGTTGACACCTAATTAACACCTATTGTTAACAGGGGGCAGAGTGATACTGGCAATAGCCGCACTGTAGGAGGGGGACAACTGAAAACGGAGGCCTCCACCTCTGTTTAATGATGGACGGTCTTTCTTCACAAAAATGGCTTCTTTTTAGTTCATCAGTTGTCCCCCTCCTACAGCGCTGCCACTGCCAGTATCACTCCACCCCTGTTAACAATAGGTGTTAATTAGGTGTCAACGATAGCCATGTGATGTGAGTATCAGTCACCTGGAGGCAGGACTCAAAAGCCTGAATTTTGCCTGAAACTCTCAGAYTGAAGAAGTCTCTTGGAGGAGAGACTAAACGTTTCATTAGAGAAGAACCCGTCCAGAAGACCTATACAATTTTTTTCTTTTGATTTTTTACCTGGATTACTGAGATGCATCAGGCCATTTATTGATTTATCTTCGGATGCAGGGGTTCCCCTCTTGGCAGACCAGACAGGAGTCAACTTTGGGCCACATTTGGCCTGCAGGCCCGCAGTTTGACACGTGGTTTAGAGCAATGGTTAAAATTACACATCAACATTGGACATAGAGACACTGCACACACTTCAACCTACTGGAGGGCACTTTCAAATTGAAGACAGGCAGCTTTATAATACTGATAATAATGATCATCTGCGAGTCTTAGCCCTTACAGAACCCTGTGTGAATGTTGTGAGACAATTGGGTGACCTCCATTCGACCTGTGTTAGCCAACTAGTCGCAGCCCAGTGAGACCCTGCCTTTCATCAGCCAGTTCCAGGATACCGCCTCGTGCACACAAGCCCCACAGACACAACAAATTTACATCAACTGAAAGTTCACCTCTTTTTGCCATGTCAGATGTATGTTTGAAAAGAAAAAAAGGAAATACTTTGTGTTTGTGCTTGATGTGAATTATAAAAAAATCTGAAAATCCTGAAGATGTTGAAAGGTATTTTAGTGTTTACTCATAAATGGTGGTGGTGGTTAATGGGTTAAAGTTAAAACCCGTGAGACTTTCTCCTGTCCTCACCTTGTTGTCTTGCAAAACGGCTCAATATGTGTGCTAGCATTTAGTTCAAGCAGTGGTGTCCGGTTTGAGCCGCTGAAGGAGTTTATTATTGCTGTACCTGCTGTGTGAATAAAACACTGAAACACATTGTTGTCTTTTTGTGACACGTTAAATGATTAATGCGATCCTTCCTCCTTATTTTATTCTTTTTTTCATTATTATTGTTGTCAACAATTATTATGTGTAAGTGCTTCTTCCTGACTTTGGCATTTACACATATTATTGTTTTTGTATTAATTTCAAAATGTTGTAAAATAATTGCAATATTCTTTTTTTCACACTTAACATTTTTTTGTAATAAATTACATTTTTTTTTACATTTGCAAACATACAGTATAAACCAATAGCACATTTCTTTTGACATGAATTGCACAGATTTGGAAAGACCAGAACAAATAAAAGGCTTGTGATTTTTTTTTTTTTTTGTTATTATTGTTGTTGTTGTTGCCCAGACTGAAGTAATGAAACAATGTGATAACGGTAAACCTCTTTTTTTTTTCTTTTGATTTGCATTTTTATAGTTGTGTTTGATGTAAATATTTCCAATGTATCTTATATGTGGAAAAAGTCATGCAGTTTAACATTAAACTTCACAAACTAAACACAGAA